GGAAGATATAATGATTTTTGGAGCACAAAATGACAAAATAATCGCCAACACTTTTCCAATATGGAGTAAATGTATGACGTCATATACTGGCCTATGTTTTGGAACGAATCACCAGTATAGCGTCGATTCATGACGTCATTCGCATTCGACAGTGTACTGGGTTGTATTTCGGAACATACCCGTAATCTACTTCAGTGATCCAAGGAAAATAAATAAAGTTTTTTTAAAAAAAAAATTAAAGAAGAAATTTATTTTTAAATAAAATAAGAATTACTTAGTTGTATCATGATGTATGATTGATTATAGTGTTATGATGTATGGTTGATATATGTTAGAGTAATAAAGTAAATGGATATGTACATACGTACTATTATTGAAGAATTCCACTCGCAGATCTTAGAAATTACTCTGGAATCAAGCTCAAAAAACGACATGGTGGCGAAATCTATCAATGCATATGTTACAATTAACACATAGCAATAGCAGTGTAGTTTGCACGATGTCTCTCACAATTATCCAAGATGTGAAAAAATCAGTCCGTAAAACAATAACGAAGTCAAAACAACAGAAGGAAATAACAATTATAGATAAATAAATATGTAGAAAGCTAATAACAATAATGGCGCGGATTGATGACCACAGATTAAGCGATGACAAATGACGTTCCGTTGTACATATGTAATTGAACAAAACGTTAAGCTTACTATGACCTACATAATTATTTTTATGACAAGAATCCAGTACATAATAAATCAGCATAGTAGTTGATTTGATGTCTACATACTAATTGAATTGAATTAAAATTAACAACTATTCATAAAAACGTGAATAATTATAGTCTTTGAATACCAAGTCCTTTCACACACGAAATGAATCGTCATTAGGTGCGTTCTGAAACTATTATTTGAAATAATTTTGAACAGTTACAAAAATAGAAATAAATGGATAACTTTTTTGTGGCTACTTAGAGAGGTATTTCTTGTGTATTTTAAGGCCTCAAACAATAAGTGTATTTTGCATAAATATTTCATATTGGGACGCTATCATTTCGTTGTCGGGTACGATTTGGCCATTCTCCTTTATCTAAAAATAGAACTCCGTAAGCCAATTGCTCAATATTAAAAAAAGTCCTATTAATTTTCTTCTTAAGTTCTTTTAATGTTCTTTAAATTTAAAACGATGAATCTTAACCGTGAACATTTGCGCGCTATGATCTATTATGATTTTAAATTTGGTTCAACTAAACAATTAAGTTTACAAGGGTTATAATCAGCATGAAGAGACTCAGCTCCATGACGAGCAACAATTTTTAGGTGATTTTCTGAATTAAAAATGGGTAAAATTAACCTTAAAGATGATCAAAGAACTGAGGCCCCGCAGAATGCAGTAACGGCAGAAAATGTATGGACTACTGAAATGTTGATGCGAGAAGACTCACGAATCACATGTATGGACATGGAAAAAATTATAGGTATTATTTCGGGGAGCATTCATACCTTCCTAGATCAACATATTAGAGCGAGGAAGCTTTGTTGTCGATGGATCCCTCGTTTGCTCTCCGAACGCAAAAAACAGACTCGTGTGGATTGGTGCCATGAAATGGGTTTACGTTTTAAAAACGGGGCATCTAGGTGTGTTTCAGAAATCGTTACTGGTGACGAGACATGGATCTATCAGTATAATCCGGAAAATAAAAGGCAATCATCGGTATGGATCTCCTCAGAAGGACAGTTACCGACAAAACTGTAAAGACCTCGGAACATCGGCGAAAAAGTGATGGCAATTTTTTTTGCGGAGCGGACGTTTGTCAACGTCAGTACTGGAAAATTGTAGGCCAGTCAATTCTGAATGGTATACCACAGTTGCATTACCTAAAGCTTTTCAAGCTGTGCGGGAGAGAAGACCAAAGACCGGGCTTCGGGAATAATGCTGCATCACGATAACGCCTCTTCACATACCTCCCTTAGAACAAAAGCATTTATTGAGAAATCTGGTGTTGAAACTCTAAGTCACCGACCCTACAGCCCTGACTTAGCTTCTTGTGATTTCTTTTTGTTCCCAAGAGTCAAAAAATATAAAAGGGAAGTTTTTTTCAAGCGTCAAATAAGCTGTGGCTGTCTACGAAGGAGCGATTTCCGACCTGTCAGATCAAGACTGGCAAAAGTGTTTTCAGGGTTGGTTTAGGCGAATGAAACTTTGTATAGAGCATGATGGAGAATATTTTGAAAAGATGTAAAATAAATATTAATAGTATATAGAATACTTTTTGTAGATTTCAAAACTTATTGAGTGTCCTACGTAAATTAATAAATACCAATGTACTACACATATTCAAATCAGGTATCTTCATCATCATCATTACAGCTCATCACAAGTCCAATGCTGTATATAGGTCTCCCCCAATCATCCATCATCCATCGAATTAATGCGTATCTCACCAGGTCGTAACTTCATCTGGTCGGGGACCACCCTACACTTTGCTTACCAGTACCAAGTTTGCATTCTTGAACCTTTCTCCCATTATGACGGTTCTTCAAGTTATATGGTCGGCCTATTGTCACTTCAGATTATCGATTACTCTGATTCTACTACGGATATCTACATTTCTAAGTCGATTACGCAGAGAAACCCTGAGCAAATTAGATGTATTCAGGTGAAAGATGTATTCAGATGACAATTGAGCACACAGTCCTGTCTACTATCTTATCTATCATCGATTAAGAATAAAATTGCAGAATGCGTCGTTACCCGCGAGGACTAAGATGATTTGCCTCCTTCCCAGTAAGAAGTGTATCCGTTTCTCTACACTCCACACGAAGCAGTGTTAAGCTGCTATTTTACGCTGGTATTCTGTAAGAGCGTGGTTTTTCCCCGGTCGAGCCGACCCATTCGTACTACAACTATACTGCTAATATAGCTGCAGCATGGCTCTAACGCATATTAGATATACAGGATTGCAGAAGCAGCCGGAATATAAGTGAAATGCGTATAAAAACAATTTCATTTATTGTGTAGTATTAGCACTCCTTTTTTAACTAGAAGTTTGGTTGAGTTGGCACCATTCGCTTACCTATATCTACCACCAAATAACAGTGCGTTTTCTGATTTGTTCTGATCTAAAACCGAGTGTCCCAACCAAAGTTCAGTTTTAGACTGAACTCGAAGCCGTAGTCGAAGTTTTATTTATGCTAAACATGTCTCTTCCAGCACACGCAACAAGTTGCCATAGTAGCACAGGGGATAAGCGCTCGCTGTATATTTCCACGTACGCGAGCAACCCGGGTTCGATCCCTGCCGGCATCAATTAAATTATTAATTGCAATTTTAAGTAATCAGTTTTAAATAAGTACCACTACTCCCAACTACTTTGCTGGGATTAGTGGTGACACATTAGTGGGACGCCCGATTCTACTAATTATTAATTTTGAATGCTGATTTACTGTGTGCTCGGCGGTGAAGGAAAGCATCGTGAGGAAACCTGCATGTCTCAGAAATAAGAAAAAAATATTTCAAAGACATGTGAAGTTCGCCAACACGCAATAGTGTGCCACGGCGGATATTTCCTTGCCCTAAAATCCTCAGAAATTATAGGAGGCCTGTGTCTAAAAGTGGGACGTATATAGGCTATAGCATTACCTTTTTATATGCGGCAATATGCCGTGTAGTGGCGGCGTAAGACTACTCACTTCCGCATAATATGATCCTGTGGGTATCGTAAGAGGCCATAGATGGAAACAGAAACAGAAGATGGAACAGGAGTTAGGCCGTACCCAAACAGCACAAAGCGTTATGAACATCGATATACCAGCCCTCATAGAATTTACAGTTCTGTTAGAGGCGTATAAGAGTGTTAAAAGAGGTTGTATATTTATAATAGTGGTTTATGAGTTATTAGTAGTAGTTAGAGTTATTACACAGCTCAAGGTGTATAAAATCTGTATTACGGGATCAAAGTAAGCTTAGGGTTCTTAATCAGAATATGAAAATACTACTATACAACTTTAAGTATGTTGTAACACTTTAATCTAATTTTATCATTAAAGCTGTATAGAAGCTGTTTTTTTGCATGCTGTCAATTACTTTTACAGCTCTAAGTGTTATTATAGTATCATTCAAATCTTATTTCTGAACAATGGTGTATGCAAACTCCTTTCTAAAACTTATTCTTATGGCGTAATTGTACACTCTTGTAAATACAGTAGTTTTATAACTTCTGCCTATGAGAGTGACATAAAAGTAAAAAATAATTAACAGCTATATTACAGATTAAGTCTGTATAAGTGATAGAATATTGCCATTTTGCATGTGTAATTGCGTGTTTAATATATTGCGCTAGTGAACATATTAATTTGTTATTAAATTATATGGTGAAGAAGAAGGATTAAAAAGGAATATTTAAATATTAAATATTATAAATGAAATAATACTTTACTGAAGAATATAGAAAAACTTTAATAAATCAGATAACCTACAGTCGAGCGTCGATCCTATCGACGTCTAACAAAAAGGGTTCCGTAACAAAAAAGTTTTTGAACACTTGGCAACTTTTTTATACGTGGTAGAGCCATGCTGCAGTTATATTAGTAGTATAGTTGTAGCACGAATGGGTCGGCTCGACCGGGGAAGGACCACGCTCTCACAGAATACCAGCGTGAAATAGTAGCTTAATGCTGCTGTATTTCGTATGGTGAGTGTAGAGAACCGGTGACCCTTTTTACTGGAAACGAGGCATTCCATCTTAGTCCTCACGGGTGACAACGCATCTGCATTTTGATTCGTAATCGAGGATAGATGTAGATGTCTATGGGCCACAGCAACCACTTACCATCAGGTGGACTGTGTGCTCGTTTGTCACCCTATCCTATAAAAAAAAAAAAAAAAAAAAAAAAAAAAAACTTCAATCAATCTTTGGGGATGGCAAACGTGGAATTTTAATAGGCTGTTATGAACGAATGAATGAATGAATATAACTACTAATAAATCAGTATCTTTTATTGAGTTCATAAAGGAGATGGTAGCGCCGATGACAGGTTCCTAATGAGCTCGTCCATCTGAACGAGGTTAATCTTGGCCTGGCGGAATAATTGCCCTTCTGGCAATTCTGGTGGTTCGTGACGTAACAGCGCCGCGGACTCCTGGAGGATCTTACGCGATTCCTGGAACGTAATAATTAGTTTCAAATGTTCAATTTTCATTTAAAAAGTTATTATTCAGATTATTTTACTCCATTTATAGTTAACCAATATAAACCCACGAGGTGACCGACATATGGGACGGTTTGGTCTGAAATTAGTCCTGTAGCCGTTTTTGCGAACTGGTTGAACCTGGTCGGTCTCTGTAAACAGGGCTCAAATGCAGAAAGCGGTGCTCCGCGATACCGTCCACATCGTCCGCCCGCCAGTTTCATTCCCTTTCCCCCTAAACTTCGGTTGTCTGAGCTCCCATGCCGATGGCTTTCGTCTGGTTGGGTTTTATATATTTATTTTTAATTCTATTAAGTCTATATTTTAATTTATCGTTTTTATGTTTATAGTGTATTATAATGAATCCCAACCAGACGATAAAACAATAGACGTATCCTTCTTACTGAGAAGAGGCATTCCATCTTAGTCATCCGTTGTGACATCTAGACTTTGATTTTTGCTCGTGAATAGGTGTAGAATGTCTATAGACTACAGCATCCACTTACCATCAAGTTAACCGTGTGCTCATTTATTTTGTCGCCCTTATTCTATAAAAAATCATATTAATATCAACAAACTGTCTGAACACATGTTTAATTTTTTTTGGTTGGCATATTCATTTTTTAACTTACGGTTACATATCCGAGTAGAACCATCGGACCATCCGTCAAAGACTTCCTTCTTCCGGTTTCCGCTACCGCGGCGTGCAGTTCAAACAGCAGGGAGCCTCGAAGTCTATTTTCGGCTGGTTATTAGAAAAAGTATTTAATGACTTAAGCGAATACTGGACATTTAAATGTAAATAATAATATTAAAATTTTAAGGCAGCCTTCGTTGACTATGACATCAGGATGATAAACACCTTAGTCCCTTCCGTGACCATGCGTGGTGTAAAGTGCCCGAAACTTCGGGAATTTTCAATGAAATAAATAATTCAAAAATTATTTATTTCATTGAATTATTTTATTTTAATGTCACTAATATTCATTTCATCATTATTATCATGATTACAATAGTTCATAAGTCCACTGCTGAACGTAGAACGATTGCCACAAAGCACGGTCCTGAGCTACCTGCATCTATCGACTGTATCTCTTAGGTCCTGCATCCATGAACTTCTTGGATGTCCTACTAGGTTGTCACTATATCTGATGGGAATCGCTCATTTTGCTTATGTTTACTTGTATGTTTACTTGTTCAAACTTGGGCAACATGTTGATTGTAGTACTCGCCTTGTATTAATTAATTAGCATATGTTCGCGTTGGCTGAGACTTGACCAACATGTTTTGCCAGCTTTAGACTAGAACACGTCATAGCATGCCTTACTGTTTAGTATGTGTATGTTTATAAAATATATTATTTTTCTTTGTATATTATGTTGATTGATTTGTTATATTGACCCGAACTCCACATTGAAATAATACTAGTTTTTACGGATTTTATCGCGTCCAAATGTCATAGTTAACCGCGGTTACCATAAAACATATCAGTCCCCCCCGTGACCATGGGTGCTGTAAATTGCTCGAAACGTCGGGTATATAAAGAAGTTAAAATCCGTAAAAACTAGTATTATTTAAATATTTTGTAGAATTCATAGTAAAATTTTACCTTTATCAGATAAAGGTACATAAATCCTTATACTATGTTTAGAAGAAGACCCTGACATTTAAGATCTGCCTAGTTTAGATGTCAGTAGCTTCATAATAATTGTAGAAGTACTTAATTATAAGCTTAGTTTTGTTTTTGATGTTATCATGTTTGCTTAATCTTAAGGATGCAATACAGATTATTATTAGATATTATTACTACTAAGAAAGACAAAACAACTTCGATAATACGACGCGTGTTTCACCTATAAAAGAGGCATCCTCAGGTAATCCGGGTGAACCACATCCATTTATTTTATTACATGGATCTTAATTAATTTTTAACATATTTAATATAATGGATTTCCGCAAATTAACTCCTGATTCTATTAATTATGGAGGATTATATAAAATAGCCGCGCTTGGCTGATGGATTAACGATCGCAGTACCTCGTACGATACCAACGGGACGAAATTGGATGACTGATTCGCCATCAACGCCAAGACACGCCACTATAGACATCTACGTCCATTCTCTATTACGAATCAAAGCGCAGATGCGTTGTCACCCGTTAGGTCTAAGATAGAATGCCTCGTTTCCGGTAAGAAAGGGTATCCGGATCTATTTTACGCTGGTATTCTGTGAGACCGTGTTCCTTCCCCGGTCGAGCCGACCCACACATAATATAGCTGCAGCGTGACACTACCATATATAGAATGCCTATTATTGTGAACTTTTAAGATTTGATTGTGTGTACTTTTAAGATAATCATCGAAGACCATTTATTTTATGAATGTTTCGATTTGTCAAAGAAAATCTCCAAGTTTTTCGGAAAACATTACTCATGTCGTTGCTCTCTATCTGTTAGTGGAGTTTCATTATAATCAGTTCAGCCATTTTGAAGATTAGCCCGAACAGATAGACAAACAAAAAATTTCAAAATGGTCACTCATGTTTTAATTGCATGCAAACAACCTCCTAAGCTCAATAAAGGGCTGTTATTTCGATAGCACAGACAAACAATTCAATTTTATTTATATGTATAGATATACGTGTAGATTGATTCTCACCAGGAGCTAAGGTTTCCAGTAAGTCGGCGATCTTCTTGCACAGCTGCGTTTTAAGTAGCAGCCTGTCGTCACTAACCTCTGCTAGACCCAGCTTGTTATCCTGGCCGATCATCTGAGCCAGCGCCAGGCTTACATCAGTCATATAGAAGTGCGAGGGATGCAGATAGCTGGAGCAATGGTCTACGAACCTATCATATTGAAATATATGTGTTATTACACGATTTATAAATAGAAAGTTTTTTTATAGAATGAGGTTGACAGAGCACACAGTTTACCTGATCGCAAGTGGATATTGTTGCCTATAGATAACGAAGGACTGCGTTGTCACATACATATATATATATATATATATATATATATATATATATATATATATATATATATATATATATATATATATATATATATATATATATATATATATATATATATCATCATCATCATCATCACAGCCCTTCACAAGTCCACTGCTGAACATAGGCCTCCCCCAAGTAATGCCACAAAGCACGGTCCTGAGCCACCTGCATCCATCGACTTCCTGCATATCTTACCAGGTCGTCACTCCATCTAGTGGGGGGTCGCCCTACACTACGCCTATCTTATTTTTTATTTTTTTATTATATATTCTTCCCCATCGGTTATCGGTTCTTCGAGCTATATGGCCGGCCCATTGCCACTTCAGCTTACTAATCCGTTGGGCTATGTCGGTCACTCTGGTTTTACTGCGGATATCCTCATTTCTGAGTCTATCACGCAGAGAAACTCCGAGCATAGCCCTCTCCATAGCTCGCTGAGCGACCTTGAGCGTCCTCATACGGCCAGCAGTGAAGGACCACGTCTCTGATCCGTAAGTCATCACTGGCAACACGCACTAGTTGTACACTTTAGTTTTCAGAGATTGAGGTATACCTGACGAGAAGATGTGTCGTAATTTCCCGAACGCTGCCCAGCCGAGTTGAATCCGTCGATTGACCTCTCGGTCGAAGTTGGACTTACCTAGTCGGACTATTTGTCCCAGGTAAATGTACTCGTCAACAACTTCGAGCATAGTGCTTCCTACAACTACCGGCATAGGTGTGACATGGACATTAAACATGATCTTTGTTTTGTCCATGTTCATCTTAAGACCTATCCGTTGGGAGGCACTATTGAGGTCATTGAGCATAGTGCTTAAGTCCTCCAGCGATTCTTCCATAAGGACTATATCGTCGGCAAATCGAAGGTGAGTGATGTACTCGCCATTGATGTTAATACCGTATCCTTTCCAGTCCAGTAGCTTGAAAACGTCTTCCAAAGCAGCGGTGAAGAGTTTCTGGGATATAACGTCACCCTGTCTTACACCTCTCTGCAGTTGGATAGGTTTCGAGCTCTGGTTCTGTACTCGGATAGCCATCGTAGCCCTACTGTACAAACACTTCAGCACTTCGATATACCGACAGTCAACTTGGCACCGCTGAAGGGACTGCAGCACCGCTCAAATTTCGACGGAATCAAAGGCTTTCTCATAGTCCACATACGCCAGGCAAAGTGGCAAATTGTACTCTTCAGTCTTCTGTACAATCTGCCGCAGGGTATGTATGTGGTCTATGGTACTGAAGCCTTTTCGGAAACCGGCTTGTTCGGGAGGCTGGAAGTCGTCGAGTCTGCGTGCGAGACGATTTGTAATGACCCTCGAAAACAGCACGTAGACGCGGCTCAGAAGGGAAATCGGTCTGTAGTTCTTCAAGAGAGCGTTGTCGCCTTTCTTAAAGAACAAGACCACCGCACTTCTGCTCCACGCCTCTGGAGTAGTGCCACCATGGAGGACGGAATTGAAGAGCTTCTGAAGGACTTCAAGTACCGGTGTTCCACCCGCTTTCAGAAGCTCCGCTGTAATTCCATCCTCGCCTGTTTCAAAATTCCTTCAACGCAAAACTAGGCACAAAAGAAAACGGTGAGCTGAAGTTAGGGAAATTTGGAGTAGGGCAACGGAACCGAAGGGGCCAGCAGCTGGCCGACTTTATGTAGAAAGAGGGACTCTTTATGATGAACTCTTTCTTCCAGAAGCGGCCCCACAGGAAGTGGACCTGGTCGAGCCCCGACGGTTCGACAAAAAATGAGATTGACTTCATTATGACGACCAGACGCCAACTGTTCAGTGATGTCTCAGTGAACGCAAGGGTGAAAACTGGCAGCGATCACCGAATGGTTAGAGGCACACTGAACCTAAACGTTAAGTTGGAGAGGTCTCGTCTAATGAAGTCAACGCTCCGTCCCCCTCGTGCTCTAATTCAAAATCCCGAAAACTTTCAGCTCGAGTTACACAACCGTGCCTACAAGATTGCAATGCAGTGGACGATGTGAATGACAAGCTCGTGGAAACTGTCCATGCGGTCGGAGCTAAGTTCTGCAAGACCCGCCGCAGAAGAACACAAAAACTCTCCGATCACACTCTTAATCTCATGGCTGTTAGACGGGAGATGAGGCTGCAATCGTCAACAGATTTGACAGCATACAGGCAACTGAACAGACAGATCTCCAAATGCATGCGGCGAGACTTACGCAACTTTAATACTGCTCGTATGAAAGAAGCGATCGAGCGGAACCAGGGCTCCAAAGTCTTTGCCAGAGATCTGTCTGCCCGTAAGAGCCAACTGTCAAGGTTGAAGACTGAGTGTGGCAGCATCGTTTCCGGGACACCTGATATTTTGAGTGAGATTTAGAGGTTCTATGGGCAGCTGTACACATCATCGTTGGAGCCACACGCAAGTGTGAGTAACGATCCAAGAGCAAGTCTTATCCGACACTATTCCGATGATATCCCGGACGTCAGTCTAAGCGAGATTATATATATATATATATATATACACTTGTGTGTGTGTGTGTGTGTGTAATAAAGGTCAAGCTAAGAAAATCGTGTTGAAATTGGTATATATTAACATACTTTTGAAGGAAATAATAATAATCTCTAATAAGAACCTCTCGCAGGCATCAGCGTCTCCTTTAGGCATAACATTCAACTCTTGCCCGATGTCTTGCAAAAGCTGCTGGATGACAGCATCAGACACAGCGTCTTGGCAGCTGTTGCACTTCCAGAACTTTTTGTCCAAGCCCCTAGTCTCAGGGTCCGGTGATTTAGTTTTGTGCAGGATGGGAAGAATAAAGGTGTCAGGAAGTAAATAACCCTTGCAGTCCCTGAAAACAAAGAAAACTTTAGATCTGAGTGTCTGTGACCACCACTTTTAATCGACTTTAAAAATAGGGAGGTTGACAATTCATTTTTTAGTTATGCGAAATCTTCGTTGTTACAATGAAAAATAAGGATACTTTATGGCGGTCCCATAAAGTTTGAAGAAAAAATTCTACCCCTAAGTGTGGATAAATAGGAGATGAAGTTTTTTTATGTATTTATTTAGACTACATTCAAGCTTTTACAATGGGATTATGTATTTCTTAGTCCACTTAAAGGATCAAATAATTAAACTTTTAATAAAGGACAAAAACCTACTTTAAAAAACTAAAAAGAATAAAATGATTTCCACATTACAGCTTCAGAAGTAGATGTTTTAATTGTTATAGTTTAATTATACACTGTGTTTTAATAGCCACATCAGAATCTTTCATGTGTAAATTATATTATTCTTTTTCGCTCTTTGAAGTGATATATTTACTTTTCAAAATAAGTTTAATTTTTTTCGATTATTTTGTAGCGCATAACGTAACTGTTGAATTATTTTTGACGCGGTATAACCCACTACATCATGAATTATGATATGGCATAAATATATAACTCTGTGTACAGCACGAATAGATCAGATCGACTGAGGATGATTCGCGCTCGTACTGAACACCTGCGTTAAATACTGATAGCTACTGATACATAACATAGCATACTGATGCTGTGTTATGTATGCCATGTGACGTGATCTGGAAACACATTTTACTTAAATCATTCCATTTTGTCTTCAGGGGTAACAACGCATCTCCATTTTGATTTTTAATTAAGGATAAATGTCCCGGGACACAGCACTCACTTTTTATCAGGTGGACTCAGCTTGTTATCACCGTTCCTTCTTTTAAAATGTGATAAGTCGAAAATTATTTATAACATAAGCAATTAAACTTTATTAGAACAGTTATAAGGAATATTAAGGTAAGTGTATGCTATGGCCCATAGACATTTACATTTATGTGCGTTGTCACCCCTGAGGACTTGGATGGAATGCCTCGTTTCCAGTAAAAAAGGGTCTCCGGATCTCTACATTCACCATACGAAACACAGCAGTATTAAACTGCTATTTTACGCTGGTATTCTGTGAGAGTTTGGTGCTTCCCCGGTTGAGTCGACCCTTTTGTGCTACAACCATAATATAGCTGCAGCGTGGCTGTACTACGTATGAATACAATCATCATCACTACAGCCCATTACAAGTTCACTGCTTATATAGGACTCCACCATAGAATACTACAAAGCACCTTTCTTCATTAGTCACTTCCATCTACATCCTACTTACAAGTCCAGAGAAAAACCTAAAAGAAGTCCAGCGGGACTGTTTTTTCACATAAACAGTACAGTAAACAATATAAAATATATTTTTTATAAAATAATGTTGACAAACGAATACACAGTTCACCTTATAAGTGGATGCTGTGGCCCATAGACATCTACATCTATCCTCGATTACGAATCAAAATGCACATGCGTTGTCACCCGTGAGGACTAATATAGAATCCCTTGTTTTTGGTAAAAAGGGTCTCCGGTTCTCTACACACTACCACACTTATCATACGATACTTTTACGCTGGTATTCTGTTAGAACGTGGCCCTTTTTGTTCGAGCCGATCTATTCGTGCTACAACCGTAATATACCTGCAAAGTGGATCTACCACGTAAAATTATTATAACCATACTGTAATAATTGTTTTTTATAAAGTCTTTTTTTATAGAAGAGGGAGCAAACAAGCATAGGCCTCACCTGATGTTAAGTGACTACCGCCGCCCATGATCAACCGCAACACCAGGGGAATTACAGGTGCGTTGCCGGCCCTTTACAAAGGAAAGGAAGCTCTTTTCTTGAAGGTGCCTAGGTCGTATCGGTCCGGAAAAATCGCTGGTAGTAAACTATTCCACAAAGAGATCGTACGCTGAAGAAAACTCCTTGTGAATCGTACAGTGGTAGACCGCCAAGCATCCAGATGGTGTGGATAGTATCGGGACGTTTGCCGCGTAGTGCGTTCATGAAATTTAGCCGCTGGGATTAATCCGAACAATTCCTCAGAAACCTCCTCGTGGTATATGCGAAAGTAAAGAGATGCTACATCTCTTCACAGCGCCAGTGAATCGAGCCGATCGGAAAGCACTCGGTCGTCGACGATTCGAGCCGCTCTGCGCTAGATGCGTTCAAGTGAAAGGAGCTGGTACTGGGGAACCCCAGCCCAGAGATGGGAACAGTATTCCATGTGCAACCGAACCTGCGCCTTGTAAAGTTGCGGGTGGCATGAAATACTGTCCCGCTCTGCTGAGCACGCCAAGCTTTTTAGAGGCCAATTTGGCCTTCTCTTCCAAGAGACCACGAAACTGCACATCACTCGATATGTCGACGCCGAGGATTCCGATACTGGCTGAGGCAACAAGGGGAGTACCTTGGAACTGAGGAGATACGACAAAAGGGTTCTTTATAGCGGTTAACGCGCAAACTTGTGTCTTCTGAGGGTTAAACTGGAATAAATTTAGTCGCCCCCAATCCGAGACTTTCTTCAGCAAAGACTCGACTTCAGACACAAGTTTGTCCCGGTACTCGGAGACGTTTTCGTGAAAAATATTGGCACGGCCGGTGTACAGAGCATCACCAGTGCTGTCATCTGCGTAGCAATGAATGTTACGGGTTTGCAACATATCATTCACACGCAGAAGAAACAGCGTTGGCGATAGCACTTAGCCTTGTGGAGCACCACACACCTTGATGCTCCGATCTGCAAGAAAGCTGGTGATCTAATTGCACAATTTCTCGGGAAGCCCGTAGGAAGGGAGCTTCGAAAGAAGCACTTTGTGCCAAACCCGATCAAAGGCCTTCGATATGTCCAAACCAATGGCCAATGCCTCCCCCTTGGACTCTACTGCCTCCGTCCATCTATGAGTTAGGTAGACCAGAAGATTACCAGCAGATCGACCACGACGAAAACCGTATTGGCGATCACTAATTAGCTGGTGATCCTTAAGGTACCTCATGAGCTGGCAGTTTACAATAGACTTCATTGTTTTGGAGAACAAGGAGGTGATGGCGATAGGCCTGTAGTTGGACGGGTCTGATTGGTCAACTTTTTTAGGAATTGGGTGGATGAAAGCCGTCTTCCATGATTTTGGGACTACGCCTAGGGACTAGGGACAACTCTGGAACACACGCACCAGTAAAATTGAGGGGATTCCGTCAAGCTCACTCGACTTGTGGATGTCCAGGGAGAGGAGTGCTTCGCGAACCAAGCGCTGTATGAACCGCACCTCCGGTTGGAGCACTCACACCGCGGGATGGTCGGCGGCGTACTCCCCCGTCATCGAGAGTCGAGTTGGACGCAAAGAAAGAGCCTAGCAGATCGGCTTTCTACTTTGCGGCATGGGCCAGTAAGTCGTACTCCTTGTGCAGAGATGGAAGAGATGGCTGACAGAAATTCCTCTGGACAGCCTTGGCGAGAGACCAGAATTCACGGGTTCCAGAAGGAACGCGAACTAGTTTTTCGCCAATTCTGCACATGTGCACTGACTTTGCCCTGGCAATGACTCTTTTGAAGGACCTGGAAGCAGAATTATACTTCTTTTTTAGAGCGCTGGTGCGTTTTGCGCTGGCGTTGTGGTGTTGATGCGTCAGCCCAGGCTTGGTAGCACTCCTGCTTATAGCATGATGCTATTTTACAGGAGAGACCAAACCATGGCTGAAATTTGCCTCCGATGGGCACCACAAACGAAGGAATAATAAAGTATTTGATTGATTAAATAAAATTGTAATAAAATGACATTGTACTTGTGCAATGTTTAAACTTACTTCTGCTTACACTTGACTGCACTAAACATGGTGCCGAACTCGGTGACGTCAGAGCAGCGTTGGCACGTGCACTCGAAGAACTTAGAGTCAGCAAGATGGTGCCGACGCGCTTCTGTGCCCCACAGCGAATCCGTGTAGCACACCGATATATGGGAACCAGCTGCGATGTCTACGCCGGCACTCAGGATCTGGAATTTTAGTTTTGGTTTCTTAAAATACCTTATATAGTATATTTAAAGTTTTCTATTTAATAAATTAAGGGTACAAAAGAGCCCATAGTCCACCTAATGGTAAGCATGACGGCTCCATGGCGCAGTGGCTTAGCATTCAGTTGCGGTGCTGAGAGCCGCAGGTTCGAATCCCGCATGTAACAAGTATTTTTAATGTCTACAAGTAATTGTTCCATGTCTAGATGTTTACCCTTGTTCAATTTGTGTTTGCAAACTGCCTCCACAGAACAGGAGAAAATCCTGATGTGGAGGTAACGTTCAAAATAAAAAGTGCTCCGATAGTTTTAAATTTTTCTTCACGTACCCAAACACCTCGGCAAAAAGACTTCGATCTTCGAGTTCATCAAATTAATACAATGTCATAAATGCCTTAGTTATAACATTCATCAAATTAAACAAATCGTCTTAAAAGACATGCATAATACCCGTTAAATATGCGAACGTGATCGACAAGCAACATCACACTTGCGCGAAAAATGGTTACCTCAATGATTTTTTATATTTACGCGAACACTACACATTGATTAAAACTACTTTTACGGATTTTATCGCGTTTAATTTTAAATGTTTTTAATTCCCGACGTTTCGGGTGCTTTCCGGCACCCACGGTCACGGGGGACTGAGGTGACTGACGTCCCGATGTCAATATTAACCCGGAGTACCTTCAAATTTTTAAATATTGTTTATGATCCGATCTATGCAGAATGGACTTGGTCTTAAAGTATTGCAGTGGTATGCTTGGGTTTAGTTTTAATTTTATTAATTACAGGGTCCCAAGCAGGTGATAGTATCCAGCCTCCATCTCTATTGAAATTAGGGTGTTTTTTTAATTTCAATAGCGTCACGTATCATACTTGGTAGGAATCGAAGTTCTTTCGCGAGGATTTGTGGTTTATCAAATTTGATGTAATAGTTGGAGCCGCCTAGGATATGCTAATAAATTGCAGACTTCCCGGAACGTTGATACTTCACGTCAGCTATATATTTCCGCGTAAAAGAATTGACATCGGGACGTCAGTCACCTCAGTCCCCCAATGACCACGAGTGCTGGAAACGACCCAAACGTCGGAAATTAAAAACATTTAAAGTTAAACGCGATAAAATCCGTAAAAGTAGTTTTAATCAATGGTTAAGTCAATTTAACAAATATCTTGTACTATATACAGTTTCTTCTAAATAACTACTCGAATCTAGATCATTCTATAACTATATAAGCCTCGCTGGGCCCAGCCCTTCTCTCATATCTGAGAGATTTTTAAGGAAAGAAAGTGTCCGCCCCGCTGCGCAATGTGTGTTGGTGGAATTCACGTGTTTCGATTTTTTTTTATTTCTTAGATGTACATGCAGGTTTCCTCACCATGTGTTCCTTCACCGAGAAACACGTGATAAACTGTCAATTACAATTTCATTGACAATTAACAAATTCATTGGAGTCGGCGGGGATTGAACGCGGGTTGCGTTTAACATCTTAGCTATCGTGGGTCTCTCATCCTCAGTTTAGTCACACATTTACAGAGAGTGAATGTAAAAATCCATTATCCATTATTCCATTACAGACCATAAAAGTCAACTGCTGAACATAGACCTCCCCTATAAAATACCTCTTAGGGTTTACCATAGTTGCCACACTTGGCAGACGGGTTGGCAACTGCAGTTTTTTATTATTTTGAGTTGTTTTCAAGACGACGCTGCTGCCCATCACCTGTTTCAATTTCCCTCTGTCCCTCTTACGACACCCACGGGAAGATATGGGTTAGTCGATATTCTTACACCGGCAGTCCACGGTAAAATGTAATATAGGTACATATATGAACCAAAGTATATTCCGATAACTTTACTTACGATTTCCCCTGTAGAAGTGAAGCTCTTGTTGCAGTTAGCACTGCAATTATGTTCTGCCATAGAGATACGGTCAAACACTGCTACGTAATCTGGCTCCATGAGTGGGACCTCGTGTCCGTTGATCTGAAAAAAAAAACTAATTTCACAAATACCTTACAGCGAACAAAGGTTTTCTCCCCTAAATCAATTCATACTGTATTTAATAATATGATAAAAAATAATAGTATCAAAATTATTCGTGCTAGTTGCTCACGCAGTCGCGCACACAGAGAGAATATTTAGTGTGTATATTAATTAATGTCAATATTACACCGTTCTAGAGCGATCGTGTATATTTCATACTTGCTCTTAAATATTAAAGTTGTTGCAATCTTGATCATCAGTGGATAAATACTAAAAACGTTTTGGGTTCAGAAATATGTTGGATTTCCTTAACTCAAACTAAGTAAAATGAAGGACAATTACCAGGGACCCTTTTTACTGGTAACTAAGCATTTCATTAGGTCTTTTTAAATGACTACAGCTTATGTTTAACTCACCACCAGATATAGTAACATATAACGGACAAAAATAGTAAATGATCACCAAAATTAAACCCGCATTTTAATATAAAATAATAACCAAAGTTTTTACATCTCGCTATCCTATTTAAGCAAAACGACTCCAAATAGATCATTGTTAACCCAAAAATAGTTGATGAACACCAAATTATTAACGAAATTTCAATATAAAATGACATGCAAAAATATAACATCTCGTTATCCGATTAAAGTAAATTACCGTCGGCAAAAAATATTTTGCCAAACATAGTAAATAAGCTTCTAACTTTTTTGTCTCCATATTGATTAACCACTACCAAAAAAAAATCTTAAGCGTTTCGTTAATTTAACCAAATGCTATGCCTAAGATAAAAAATAAAACTTACAGTTTCAATAATCCTTTTTTTAATTATTTAAACAATCATTAAAAAGTTAGTCCTTAAAAACTAACAATAACAGGTATTTAAAGATATTTAGTTAGTTTATAAAATTAACTTAATACGGCATCATAATACTTTACTTGGTAATAAGCCTACATTTTATAGCAATCACAAGGAAGTTAGGCAGTAATAGCGCATTGAGTTATACAACACTAGATTATCAAACCACATTACCGAGCATCGAAAAAAGTGTAACCACTATCCAAACGCGACGACGTAGCTTTGAAACTAATAACAATTTTAAGTAAACATATATCTATCTCACTTACACAAGTTGCGAAAACAATATCGTCGCTAAGATTAGATAAAGATAGACACACAAACATGCAATGGCGGGTTGGTGTGGCTTACTATATGAAATTTTACCTAAAATACGTAATACAAATGTGTTCTTTTTAAGCTGCAGTTAATTGTTTTTATATTAAAAAGTATATTTTATTTTCAAATCTTTATTACGTCCCCTTAGAAAAAAAGGATACAAAGCTTATCAGATGAATAGAAGTAAACATAATGATGAAATAAAACGTATTTTTATGGTACTAATAAAACAAACAATATAAAATAGGTAATAAAATATAATTAATATAAAATTTATATGAAATTATAAATAATATAAAATTATTAATATAAAATAGGTAATAAAATATATTTAATAGATAATTCATGAATAAACTAAAATAAGAATAATTAATTATTTTGTATGAAATTTAAAACGTAGTTTTTATTATAATTTCCGAAATATTTAAAATCAGAGGTAACAAATTAACTTACTCCATTAATTAATGTATAATAATGTAATGTCTCCCAATCTCCCATTAATGTAGGATAATCACAAATACGAAAAAGTGGCAACATTGAACCTAAATGGCAATATTTGACAATTTTATTTAATTATTTGAGGTTTTTTACGTTTATATAAAACAAGAACCAAAAATTATGTGTTGAAAGTGATTCCGCTTGATTTATTACGTTTTTGTGACCTTGAATAGCATTCTTTCACTACGCATTTATCCATTTTTGTCGCGGCTCAACTCTGTCGGCGTCACATTGAACAATGAACTCACGTTAGCTAGACATATGGCTGTGGCCATATGTGCAGTGGCAACGCTTTGGCGCGGTTATTACTGATCTAGTGTTATATAAATCAATGGTAATAGCGCATTGATTTGCTCGCTAAGATTTGGTGATCATTTACTACATTTGGTGTTCGAATACAATTTGTAGTGCAGTTGTGAGTAAAATAGCTAGTACTATTGTAATTTTAGGCTTTATTATTCTGGTGTCAAGTATATATTTTTGGTAAAATAAGTAAGGATATCAAAGCATTTTATGGTGGTCATTATATTTAACCCCAATGACAACTAGCCAGCTTCAAAAAAGGAAGTAGTTCTGAATTCAACTGCAAGTTCATTTTTATGTATCCAACCCATTCGTGCTACAACCATAACACAGCTGCAGCGTGGCTCTACCACGTATAAAATGTAAATGTATGTATATATACATACTATTTATATGTACTATGCATTACTAAACATTTTTAATACTTGATGTTCAGCTTTCACTTTTTATTAATACAGTTCGAAGAAAAAATTAATACAGTTCGAGCAAAAAAGTGGCACGGCCGTACCATATACCATGGAGAGTGCTCTGAGGAATTGTTCGGATTAATCCCAGCCGCCAATTTTCGTGAACGCACTACGCGACAAACGTCCTGATACCATGCACACCATCTGGATGCTTGGCGGTCCACCACAGTACGTTTCAAAAGGAGTTTTCTTCCGCGTACAACCTCTCTGTGGAATAGTTTACCACCGGCGATTTTTCCGGACCGATACGACCTGGGGACCTTCAAGAAAAGAGCTTACTCCTTTCTAAAGGGCCGGCAACGCACCTGCAATTCCCCTGGTGTTGCGGTTGATCATGGGCGGCGGTAGTCACTTAACATCAGGTGAGCCGCATGCTCGTTTGCCCCCTCTTCTATAAATAAAAAAAAACTTTTCTCGAAGCAATTCAGGCCATTTTCGACCCCCTATATTTTCGTAGTCAATAAAACTAGAAGCCTGAATTTTCAGTAACCACGTAGGTATTGTATAAGCATGGTATATTTTAAATTTCATTCATTTTGAACCAGTAGTTTAAGAATTATAACAAGTCTAAGTTTCTTAATTTTTTTCACTCACTGACTGACCGATCATCAAAACTCTAAGGCATTTCTAGCAGACATAGAAGCTTCAAATTTAGAATAAAATTAGTGTTTAGTGTAAAAATTAAGAAAAAACTAAAATATTTGTTAATTTCGGTCCAGTTTTCTAGATACACTAACTGCATAAATAACTTTGTAATCCCATATAAGTATATAGAATTACAAATTTACATTTGCAGTGAATGAATCAGTGTACTTGTATAATATGTATAACAGGTGTAGATAGGTACGTTGTTGGTATTCAAGAAGTAGAAGGTATCGGAAAGGTAAAAAAATTAGGACTATCTTATCTACAAAAATAAATGAGATGCCATCAAAAACATAACTTGTCTAAAAAAACTAAGTCTCTCAACTCAGTTCTTCTACCGTAAAAAGTTGTGAGATCCATGTAATACCAAGTCGGTTAATTTATTCAGCCCCTACTTAAGGGTCCTTCTATTTCAAGTTATTACGTCGTTAGCTAACCTAACAACATTTTATAGTGACTATATCAATGTTAAAAATCTTTTATGTTTTAAATATATAGATTGACTTGGCAATCGAACTAAGCAATCTAATTTAATATAATATGTATTACTTGTGAGATACATTGTGTTTTCATGTGTCGTAATTTCATAATAGTATTTTTTTAATTCTTAATCGAGGTTAGATGTAGATGTCTATTTGGCATAGTATCCACTTACCATCAGGTGGACGGTGTGCTCATTTATCGGCTAATATTGTAAAGCTTTTTCCTCACGCGTGGTTCTGTTTCTTTTCATACCTGGATAATACCACAGCATTTCATGATCTCCTCTTCAGTAAACATCCCATCTAATTTGAAGAACTTGATGATGAAATCTGAAATCATTGTTTTGTCGTTTTTCCACTTGTCCGTGTCCTTGCGGTCTTCACAGTGAGACTCCAGGGCCTGCAGCTTACCCCACAGTTTCTCATCATGATCCCGTTGATACAGGCACCGGAGTACAGTAATGCATTGGTAATTTGGATGAGGTACGCCAAAAGTGGAGATGGACACCTGGATAACAGAGACCAAGTATTTGACAAGTAACTAAGGCCTAACGGGCGGCTGGGACTACACAGCACGGTAAGATTGTGACCGGTACAAATTTTAATGATAATAGTCAATATGTTGAATTCAAATAACTTCCCTATATAATTATGTAAACATTTTTTATATATTTATATCAATTTAATATCGATTTTACGATTGTGTAGCTTAAACCTAAGTTCCATTAGTTAAAATAAATACAATCTTAACAAAAACATAGAGATAGAAATGGGACAACATCGAAGTCTCGCATAGATTTTAAGAAGTAGTAGTTTTCATATAAAGTATACCTTTTCACCTCTTTTCAGAGTAAAATGACATTCTGGCTTGTGCACTTCCTTTTTGGTGCAGGCTTCTGAGCAGAACGGCCAACCACATTCAGAACAGGATACCGTTTTCCCTTCTTCTAATAACTTGTAGCAGCCAAGGCACACTGGTGGTGTCACCTAATAAAGTTGTTACAAAATTGAAGTTATATGGAATGTACATTTAATGTTGCCGACTGATATAATTTGTGACTCAATTAGTGCACAATAAAACTTCTTATCAACAATACGCGTGGCTAACTTATAATCAGTTAAAGAAATATAATGCGCTCAAAAACATATTTCTTCTGACCAAACAATTATATACATAATATTCTACATTTAGAACATTAACTGTATTCGTTATTTTGTATTTTGGTGTACAATAAAGAGTAAATAAATGAATAAACAATTATATAACCAATGAAAAGAAGAGGAACTCCAAATTGTGGATCCTGCAGAAGTGTTATGAGTTTACAGTTCAGCTGATGCAGATACGGCAGCCCATTGACACCTGCAGCAAACTGATGACTAAGAATGCCTCAGAGCTTATTTTTATACTGTATTTAATTTCTGTAGTTAATTATACTGCCCCTCTGAAAGGTCGAGAAAGGGATTACAAACAAATATTAATTAACAGCAGCAACGAGCAGTAAGACGGAAGCCAGAGGTATGCAGTCTATCGTCTCTCAGAAGGCTGTTGTGTCCAGAAGTGAAGCGAAGGCCGAAAACAACGGTCAAGCAGGGACCGAAAAAATTGTAGCCATCCAGCCAAATGGGAATGGATCAAGAAATGGCAGCAGGTCATCGCTATCGGCCCGGCTGAGAGTAGAATCAGAAGCGCGGGTTAAAAACGAACACTCAGAGCTCGAACAAGCAGAAGCAGCAGCAGCGCTAGCAAAGTGACAGTTGGAGCCAGCACGCCTCAATTGGGAAGAGTTAGGATGATGAGCGGAATACTCAAGTAGAAGTAATAAAAAATTGTTACATGTTAAAATAGTATAGGTTAATAATGTCCTCCAGATCAAATTTCGGCCAGACATTCGGTTTCAAGGGAGACTAGTTATTTGCGCAGGACAGGATTATAACGCGTGAGTTGTGCGCAAACACAATAGGACTCTTTATTTCCTTACCCTTATAGTTAAATTTCCATATAATTCGGTATTTCAACCTAACCGGAGGGAGATCAGGCGCAAGACAAACATCTTTAAATGCTCTCCGAAGCACGGGGTTAAAGCTTACATACAAGAACTCTCAGGCCTGTCACCCAAACGGACACAGACACCACGAACTTTCATTTAAAATGCCTCTGTCATACTTCTCTTACTTATTTTACATCCATATTTCTACTCAAACACGCTCGTCGGGTAAAATTACTCTTAATAAGGCTCTTCAATATGCCACCAAAATAGGATGTTTGGTATACAAGAAAACGTTTAACTCAAAATTTATTTGATCGATCATCATGAAAATTGGTATATATTATATATATATATATATATATATATATATAACATGTATTTTTGATGGAGAGGGTTTATATTTATAAACTAAAAAATATTGAAAAAATATTTAGAAACAAACAACATTTAATTTTTTTTTTATTTGCTCTACGCGGGCCCGAACAGCTAGTTTTCAATATATCACCAATTTAGTTGTTAAATTACTTCTAGGACGTCTCTTGCCGACACTGCCGCTTACTTCTGCAGCATAAATTTACTTTGTCACTCTTTCCTCATTCATGCTGGTTAGATGTCAAAGCCATCGAATCATTTCTTTCACATTCTTAGCTTTTTCTGTCACACTCAACCTTCACTTCCATGCATTAAGGTAGGGTCAAAAAACCAGCATTGTACACATTCAACATGGAACACATTCTAACTTTCCACAATATTATTCCCGCATTCAAAATCATCTCTTTATTCTAGCTAGGACTAGAAAAAAGATTAATTTGAATTTATTAGGATTATAAGGGATTTCTTACCTGCGCTGGTCCTGTAATGAGAGGGGCTTCCTTCATAATTATGTCACCAGACTTGATGTCTCTGGTAGCTTCGAGGTACCGCCCCAACTTCGGGTCTTGTTTAACTTTAGCTGGTATACATCCGTATTTATGAAGCTTCCAGTCCTGCTTCTGATGCTCCCTCGAGCAATAGTGAACATTCTGACAGCCCGAGCACTTCTGCACGGCCGGGGACGAGCAGATCTCGCACTTTGTTTCTTCACCCATTGGCTAAAAAATTTCGAAAAATTTTCAAACATTTTAACCGTCATTGCATAATTTTAATTTTTACTTTTACAATCTGCTATCAGATTCACTATGATATAAGTTTATTGTTAACATTATCATCATCACCTCTGCATTCATCGACTTCCTGATTCAGGTAATCACAATTATGATAAAGCTGTGTCGTGGCCATCACGTAAATAAGCTAGATTTGTGATGTTAGCTTTTTATCATAATCATCATGACATCCACTCACAAGTCCACTGCTGATGATAGACATCCCAAAAGGAATGCCACACAGCACGCTCCTGAGCCACCTGTATCTATCGAATTCTTGCTCTTACCAGGTTGTCACTCCATTTAGTAGGTGGCCGCCCTACACTTAGATTACAGGCACAAGAGTACTACTCGGGGACCTTAAATCACCATTGGTTGTCGGTTTTCGAAGCTATAATATGGCCAGCACTTTAATGACGAGAAAATGTGTCCTAATTTCTTAAATTCTACTAAGTCAAGTTAGTTCCACAGACACACACGACCTACTTAAAAAAATAAGTTAATTACAGGCTATGAGATTTTATAAAAGTGAAGTGAATAACGACCACACAGTCCACCCGATGGTTTCATGGTTTGGCCCTTAGACATCTACATCCTCGATTAAAAATCAAAATGTAGATGCGTTGTACCCCTGAGGACTAAAAAGGAATGACTTGACTTCAGCAAAAAGATTCTCTACACTCACCATTCGAAACACAGCAGCATTAAGTTGTTATTTTAGGCAGGTATTCAATGAAACCGTGACCTTTCTCCGGTCGAGCTACAACCATAACATAACTGCAGCATGGCTCTACCACGTATAAAATTATAAGTAATTTTAAAAATAGAAGACTAAAAATAAAACTCACTGGAATATCTCATATGAGTAGCTTATAATTATACTGAAGCTCTATTGTTAGCTACTTGGCGGCAGAAATACCTGTACGGATAGAGAGCTAGGCAGCAAACGAATAGTATCATTTATTGTCATCTCATTACTCAGGATGACGACATATCCCTGGCCTTCTTTGATTAAAGTTGTGGGTAGTCCATGGGTTGCATAACTATTTACCATCAGGTGGAATGCTAGATCGTTTGTCAAGCTAAAACTCGTTATTATTTTCGTTGTCCTTTACTAGCAATGAGTGCAAGTAAGCGAGGTGTTTCAAAGTAATATAAGAAAACGAAATAGTTTAAAATTAAAAAAAAAATATTGGTCCACAAACCCCCCCCCCCCCCCCCACTCAAAAGGTAATAAGCGATAATTTAGTAGTAGTTGACTGTGTGGTGGCGGGGACAATATCTTCTAGCCCATATTGTCCCGTGGGTGTCGTACGAGGCGACATGAGTAAACAGACCATGGTAGATCCATGCTGCAGTTATATTAGATGTATAGTTGTAGCACGAATAGATCGGCTCGACCGGGGAAGGACCGCGCTTTCACAGAATACCAGTAGCTTAATGATGCTGTGTTTAGTATGTTGAGTGTAGGGAACCAGAGACCATTTTTAGTGGAAACGCGGCATTCCATCTTTCTACTCAGGGGTGACAACGCATCTTTATTTTTATTCTTAATTGAGGATAGATGTAGATGTTTAAGGGCCACAGCAATCACTTACCATCAGGTGTACTGTGTGCTCGTTTGTTACCCTATTTAAAAAAAAAACAGAATATGGACAGCAGAGTCTACCTAATAACAACCAATAAAACTGCAATTGTCAACTTGCCCGTAGAGCGTGGCAACTATGGCAAATACCTTTAAATTTGTGAGGAGGAGCTATGTTAAGCAATGGACTTTTGATAGTTACTGTAATGGTAATTAAGTAACATATCACTTTATGTTTCCCTAACAAAATAAAGGAATTTTTTTGGGAAGTATTAATGGACTAGCTATATAGCTTCAAGAAGATGTGACCAATGGAGATGAAAGGTTATCGAGTGGCAGCTTAATACATTTATGAATGGACAAACAAGAAAACGAGTTAAAAAAACTTGTTAAGTTGGCTACGAATTGTCACCCCTCAGGACTAAGATGGAATGCCTCTCAGCTTGCAACTATACCGACTGTATATACGTCGATGGTAGATGTCTATGGCTCATAGTATCCGCTTACCATCATGTGGACTGTGTGCTCGTTTGATTCCCTTAATTTTATAAAAAATATGTGAAATCCATTAATACGCAATAATACTACCCATTGCTCTTCCTCACCTCGGAATCCTCTCAGTAAAGGCAGGATGCCTATTTCCAACTGTAGGACGTGTATAAACATCGTGTATAAAAGTAGATCAACATCGTTCCCTATATCTTCCAACCCAACCTAAAAAGGCGTGTAATTTTTAACAGAATTATTATTAGCCCACCCCGAATGTATAACTTATTTAATATAAAGAGTGAAATAAAAATTCACTATTGACAAAGATGTCATTAACATAAATCACGTCATGTCTGATAAGCGGAGAGTTACCCAGCCTCGCTAAAGGGAGTGACGACCGAATGAAACATGCAGGGATGGATGCAGATGGCCCAGGATCATCCTTTATGGCAATCGTAGGAGGCGGTCAAGGTTCAACAGTGGACTTATGATAGTGTAATAATGAAAGATAATATATTGGAACGTTTAGGTTTTACATGATTTTAAATAATTTTTGCTTTACTATAAATTAACCATGCTACTTACTAAAATGAAATCTAGATTTTGCCTTGTCTTCATAGACTGTGAAAGTTTATCAATGAAACGTACTTACCATTTATTTGAAATACATCGAATTCTACCCGAAATGATAACCTATATTGAGTTACAATCACTTACAAACGTGTGTCAGCTATGTGAAAGATCGCCGGGCGACTGGCCGGTTCTTGAATTCACGTGTACCGCGGTAAAAATAAACTTTGCTGATGAACGCTACTAGATGTTACCCGGCGCAGAATGCGTATGCAACTGTGTTGTGCTAATATTTTAACTTTTTTAATGCTCGCGGGGATCCTATAATTAATAAAATTAAATTCAAACCCCAGCAAACTACTGCAAGACTTTAAGATAATGTGACCATGGGTGCTGTAAAGTGCCGGGATACGTCGGGAATTGAAAAAGTTACAGTTAAAGCGATAAAATCCGTAAAAATATTTTCATTCCAAATGTAGTTATACTGTTATAATATTAAACATATTTTGTAAATTTGTTTGTTTAAACGAACACAATTTTTTTAGGATTTTGTTTGTGATCGTTTAAAAGAAGTTTACTAAGAAGTTTACTCCTACACCGTGGAAGTGTCTATAAATTGTACAAGCACACATTCAGACCCGGAACAAGTATTTTTAGGCCATACATAAAGGAATTCGTTCCGTGTGGAATTTTAACCTGCAACTCGTCAGTGCTGCTGAAAAATGGCACTACTTCAGCAATTCATCGAAATATTGATTATTACTAAAGTAAGGTAGGGTGAGGTTTTTAATTTTGATACACGCAATTTTAAATGTCAGTTTATAACCTAAGCTAAGGTTTAGGTTGTTTTACGGGGTTTTTGATTTTAATTTACACCTCCCGCCGCCTTTGCATTTACACGAATACTTGGCATTTAACAAAACTAAATCCGTAAAATGAACTAATTTTGTTATTGTTACGGATAACATATCCGTAAAAATAACAAAATTAGTTAGTTTTACGGTATATGATTATTATGAGGGAAGCGTTATTCTCTCCTGAGAAGGACCCATCAAGATATGACTGACACTGATAGGGTTGCTATATGTGAAAATATTCTTATGGCCCTGCCAATATGTGGCGTAGGTGTTGTTAGGTCACACAGTCGGTGAGAGAAAGACATAACCCATCCTTGCCCGAGTATGCGTAGGCATTTCTCCATAAAAAAGGTGATACCATATCTCTACATATAAGTATGTCTGGGAAGATAGAGGCTCGTGGTGTATACTAAATGGGTCGGTTGGAAGGACCAATCTGCACCCAAAATCTCTGCGATCATACTCTTAATCTCATAGCTGTTAGACGAGAAATGAAGCTGCAGTCTTTAGCAGATTTATCCGACTTATCTCCAAATGCATGCAGCGTGACTTACGCAACTTCAATACAGCTCGAGTTGAAGACGCGATTAAGTAGAACCAAGGCTCCAAAGTCTTTGTCATAGATCTGTCTGCTAGAAAAAACAATCTATCGAAGCTGAAGACCTAATGCGATAGCATCGTTTCCGGAATACCTGAGATTTTGAGTGAGGTTAAGAGGTTCTACGGGTCGCTGTACCCGTCATCGTTGGAGCCAAAGGCATGTGTGAGTAATGATCCAACAGCAAGTTTTATGCGACACTTTTCATCAGAAAAGTCATCAGACATCTCGGAATTCAGGCTGACTGAGATTAGAATGGCTCTCCAGCACCTCAAAAATGGCAAGGATCAGGGCGAGGATAGAATAACAGCGGATCTTCTGAAAGGTGGGGGGGAGGGAAACCAGTACTTATAGTTCTTCAGAAGTTCTTCAGTGATGACTTATGAATCTGAAACGTTTTCGATCAATACTGACCGTATGAGGAAGATTATGTTCGCTCAGAAATCTTTGGAGAGGGCTGCGCTCGGGGTTTTTCTGCGTGATTGACTTTAAGGATACTGTAGTAACTGACATAGCCCAATGGATTATTAAACTGAAATAGCAATGGGCCGGCCATATAGCTCAAGGAACCGACAACTGACGGGGAAGCAAGGTTCTCGCGTGGCAGCTTCGTGGTAGGCGTAGTGCAGGGCAGAAGAATGCAGGTGGCTCAGGAACGTGCTTTGTGGCATTTTTCTATCAAGTACATATAAATAAAAATAAAAGTAAAAATTGAAGTAACTGTCTTTTACTAAGCTCAGATGGCTATTTGCATGTTATTTAGGTCACTCTCTTTCCGTCCTGGAAAATCTTCAGAATGACTGAACTGATTGTTATTGGTGGTCTTTCAGGCTAAAGGGAAAGCCTTGCTCTTAGATGTACCACCCATTAGGTTATACGGTGCCCCGTAAAAATGGTGTCTCAGTTTAAGTACCTGGTTCATATGGTATCCTTTGACCTAAAAGATGATGTTGATATAGAGAGAGATCACTTGTAGGTTTCTTCAGCAGTCTGTGGGTGGACAATGCTCTGTGTGTTTAATACAATAATGAATTCAGGATTCTATAGGGTCTGCCTCGTTACTGTAGTGCGTCGGGTATGTTCGCGGATACGCATGTGGATTGTTTCTAAACCACCGTGCGTAAACGATGCGCATTCGTTGTGCGCAGGGTGCGGACCAGTTCCAATGGCATCCTGAGGGCATTTTCTGATAGCTTTGATGTCAGTACCTGAACAATTGTCATATTATGCACGTGCTGACTAATCGGGCCTGCCTTAGATATAGTTTTAGAATTAGGTAAATAGTTTAAAGTTTACTAACATTAGTTTTAAGATTTGTATTATTACTAACATCTATGATACTTGTGATCGAAATAAACGATTTTTATTTATTTTATTTATTATTATTTCGTATGGTCGTCAGCATTCACAGTGTAATAAGTGTTGCCAGCCAATTAATGACTTTGTCATCTGTGGAATGCACTCTCTGTAGTCCTCTGAAATTTTATAAATCGAGCATTCGCCAGTTAGGTAGGCCATGCTCTGGATTTCACCACACGTAGACGTAGGGTCACCTCGGTATCCCATTTGTGCATTAGCTCAGCGCATCTGCCTTGTCCAGTTCTTAGTTTGTTCAGCTGAGTCCAGCACCTGCGCGGTAAGTTAAAGTCTTTTGGTTGTATGTTTGGGAACTGAACTGATTGTAATGAATTTTTATAAACAGATAAAGAGCAAATTCAGAAGTAATCTAAACTATGTTTTATCCGAAAAATAAGATATTTAAAAAATGAGTGTGCTTATAACTCAGATGAAGTAAGCTTATGACCACATGACTGAAGTAAAACTTCTTTCCACCTGTATGTATATACATACATATATACGCATACATGCATAATATATACATGTACTAGCTTGCCAGGCAGACGTTGTTCTGCCCTTTTCGACGACCCTTTATCATACTCTATTAAAATTCTTATTATCGCAAAAAAAATTGTGGGTCACTCATGTGGCAAAACAAACTACCCTATCTTTCAAGTTGGGCCAAACTGAACATAGTGTGTAAGTTTGATTGAAATCGGTCAAGTAGTTTAGGAGTCCATCGCGGACAAATAATTTATATATGTATATTAAGATATTCATATGCATATATTAATTTTCTACAAATATTTAAATTTACTATCGGCTTCCTTCCATAATTTGTTATTATTCACCCGATAACTCACAAAACATGAACTTTAAAATGAATTTACAATTTTATTCACTTTAAACGTAGAATATTTAATGTATAGAACAAAATAAAATTAAACATAAAATTGTTCAGAACGAAATAAAATCACGAGAAATAACTGGCTATGAGAGAAAGAGAGAAAGAAAATGTGCGCGCGCACTGCTCTCTCTTGCTTATATCACCCACTTAAGTCCCGTTCGCCTCGTAACTTTTACTCATATATCGCTATCACACTTTTCGTAACGCTTTCGTCTCGCGTTCGCCAGCTTACTCCCCAACCCCAAGTCAAGCGTGCGTAAAGAAGTTTTAGTTCAAAAATTAAAAACTTTTAATGATCTTTGAATATCTTAAATCTAAGTAGCGCAACATTGACAGATCCTACCCAGGCGAAGAAGAGATGATTTGCTAGTTTATAATAACATTTAAGGATGTCGTTTACAACAATTCTTAGAATAACCACTAGGGTTCCACGACACCCATAAAAAGACCTGTAGTGTAAAGCAAGGAATAATAAGTATTAATAAGTTAAGAGAGCTATACGCCTTCATGGTGATGATGATGATGATGGCTACGACATAATCTTTTTAGAATTAAGGGTGATAAGCCAATATACAATTCACCAGATGGTAGTAAGTGGATGCTGTGCTCCATAAACAACTACTTTCGACTTAGAACTATTTTTGGTTAAGAAACGATTTACACATGCGTTGTTACCCTCTCGATATTATTGTTCAGTGCCCCTGGCTGCCTCGTTGTTCTAGTGATACTAAACGCGATTCCTGATCATGGTCATCAAGGTCCCGGATTCGAATCCCGGGTCAAAGCAAATTTAGTTATTGGATTTTTCGGTAAGAAATTCTCAGCAGCATCACGGAGTCAGGAAGGTGGCGGTGTTTTACCTCCGTGCCTCGAAAATCACGTGAAACCGTTGTTCCTGCGTCTAATCTCTCTCCGGTCGTGCGGGATTATCGTCCTATCATACTATGAAAGTGAGGGAATAGAGAGCGCACCTCTGATTGCGCATACTCTTGGTCATTGTAAGCCTGTCCTGCGCAGGTGGAAATTATCATTATTATCCGGTGTATTTATATAGTTTCTTATCTGCTTGGGCTATACAGTAGTTTTACTAATCCGGCACTATAAAAAACCTCATATTACATACATGTGTATGTACCTATGTACAAATTTCTTTGTGACAATGTTTATCTTACTTATTATATTAAATTAGTCCTTAATTAAGGTCTGGTTTTTGCAACTTCTAGCTTTTGTTAAATAAACTTTTTACGGACGTTTCGAAGCACTATAAACTCCTGTCTATAACTCTGTCTGATACATCATTTTCTTCAGTCCATGTTATATAGGTATTAATATAATTGAACGCCATATCTGGTTTTATTTTCGCAGTAGTAGTTGATAGCTTCAAT